CTGCGGGGGGTCAGCCCTGGCCCTCCCAATGCCCAAACACGAGGCTGTGTCAAAGGACGGTACAGGCACCCGGTGACAGTAAATGCAGCCCACGTCAGACAGCAGGGATCAGTCCCTTCAGATAAAGGGGACATTGGCTTGCTACTCTCCTGCAGAGCCAGGCCAAGCAGATCTACCCATGGGAGCATCCAGCCCAGATCCACACTGTGCAGACATGTCACTGCCCCCACCCCTTCCTGATACAAAGCATCAGCCTCGCGCGTCCTCGGCACCCTCAGGAAAAGCTGCCCCAAGCTGGGCACCACCGGCCACCTCCCTTTGGGGTCAGCGGCGGCCAGACGCGCTCCTGGACCCGACCCCCATGGGACTTCGATGGCAGGTCTTGCCTGGCCATGTCCAAGACCGGAATCAGGGGAGGCAGCCGGACTCATTCAATCAGCATTCAATTAAAATTTAATTTCAAGATCTCCCAGACCAAATGCTTGACACCAGCCCAGGAAGATGCAGTGTACGGTAGCACTGACCAGGGTTACCTCTGTAGAAGAGACCAGGTTGGACCAGCAAGGCTCACGTCGCTTGCTTATCTTTTCCACCTCATCACCACGTCCAGAAGGTTTCTCTCGCAGATCTTGTCCTAAAACCTGGCCAAATACCACGGCCAGTGCCAGGGTCTCCCCAGCCCTCCAGGAACATTTCTCTCCCCCCTCCCTGCACAGGGACCGCTGTGGCTCAGCCATATGGTTTCCAGCCGCAGCCCGACCTCCGTTTCAGGTGCCAACTGCTTCTGGATCCAGGACAGAGATCAGGAAACTTGGCACGACCCTCCCGCAGCCATCTGCGAAGCCATGCTTACCCGCCCCTGAAACACCCCTCTTCCGCAGGCCATAAAAGCCAGGTTGTGGTGCAAGAAAACATCTGTCCTTCTCAACCTGCTGGCGCCTGACCTCCTTCCCGTCATCTTCCGTCCAGCCACGAGCTCTCCAGGCAGATTTTCTTTTATTGCCCGTCTGTGCAACGCAGCAGCGTCCTGGTCCCATGTCAGGGGCTCTTATTCCCTAGAGGGGTACGAGGAATAAAATAACGCTGCGGCCAAGGCTGGGAGAGGGTCCGCAGGACAGGTGGGCATCGTGCGCGTGGCCCATCCAGCAAGTAGTTGTGAGATTGCAGAAGGGGGTTATGTGAATTTCTAAGCCCTTCCTGATCCTGTTTGATCTTGTTTCAAATTAGCATGCCCAGAAAGAGAGGCAGCATCCCCTCCTCCTGCCCTCCATCCCCCACCACACTTGAAAGGATTTCAGCTGTGATTATTTATTGGCAAAGCTTTGGGGGTTTAGTTTTACCCTAAGCCACATGTGAAGAAAGGCTGAAAAGGGAAGCAAGAGGGATGGTTTAGCCAGGCATCGAACTGTAAAGCACCAACAGAAAATATAAAGAGGTTTGCTTGTGAATCAAAACCCATTCTGCCGTGTCTTTTTAAAGCACGTACGAGTAGGCAGGGGCTGTCTTTCCCCAAGCAGGCAGAGTGCCCAGGACACAGGAGCATCGTCATCATAAATCAGAAAAGAAATTGCCGCTGCAAGACCAGTGCTCCTGCTCCGAGTCTGGCTTTGTACGTCCTGCAGAAAGAGGCAGAGACTGGAAAATTTAACTTGAGGAATTTAATTGTCTTGCCAAGCTTCCATAAAAGAGACAGTCAATTACTTGAGCTCTGTAAGATTTCTTCAGAGAAGTATTAATTTTTTTATCATGTCTTCAAAAAGTTCACACAGTGCAGACGTCCCACAGCAACCCCTGACCAGCACACCACATCCACCGGAGCAGGCTACAGGAACCCTCTTTTCTCTTAGCTATGTCCACATACCAAAAGGCTACCAGAGATCAGGAATACTTCCCAAAAAGTAGTTGTTGAAGACAACACGAAGCGGGACCAGCGTTTGACAGAGCACTGCAGGGCTGGCAGCATTTCTTGCTCCAAATCATCAAGGGAAAGTTGCTCAATCCCTGCTGCTGGCTGAAACGAGGGGGCGGGCGGAACCAGCTCCCCAGTCCTTTGCTCACTGTACATTAGTGCATGTGATCATATTGTGAAGTTACCCAAAGAATAAAAAACATTATAGAATTGTTCCCCCCTTTTAAGAGAAAAAAAACCCACCCAACACCGAACAAAATAAGCTTTAGAGCGGGAAGGCTCTGCTGCAGCGCACCCCCGTACCGAGCACTGAACCATCACTGCCAGCACCGTCCTCACTCGCGCCCGCCTTTCTCCACTTGCAAAACACTACTGGTTAGAAAAAAATACAGGAAAGCAGAGATTCATCAGCATTAATTATTATCATTATTAATGATTATCATTTTTTTCCTGAAAACTGAGATTTTTCCAAAAATGACAGGCCAAATAAAGTAAAAAGGGAAAAAGGTGAAGGCTGGTAATTAATCAGTTAAGAGAATGAACGAAACGAAGTGTTCTACCTGGGAAGGAGTTGTTGTATCTGGGCAGTCTATATAAATCTGTTAGATCAGTGGCATTTCCATACCTCGCCCACTGAGTTAGCGACCACAACCGCAACCCCACCGCAGAGGTGCTGGTACTCAGAACAGCGTGAGCCGGTTTGGTGAGAAAACACGGCCGCTCAGTGTTCGTGAGCCCAGCCACCGCTAACGCCAGGACAGCTTCCTCACACTGAACCCTGGCTCTGTCAAGCAAACAATTGTTCATTTAAAAAAAAAAAAATTAAAATTTAATTCATTTTTTAAAAAAAATTAAAAAAATTAAAAAAGTTCATTTTAAAAAAAAATCTTACTCAGTGTTTTGTAACGCTACAGAATTTTTAACGACAGCAACATTTTTCTGCTGTTGCCGCCTTTAACGCTCTGCCTTTATCCTCCACCCCCAGCTAAGCTGAGCACAGCACTACCACGCTTCAATTACGGGCGTATCAATTTTCCCCGTGACTTCCATAAATATTTTAACAAACAAAATGGTGGATACCAAGATCTTAAAGTTGTGAGTTTATTGCATATGTAACAAAAATGAACATGACCTCCTGGGTCCAGCCTACTATACAATCACTGTTTATTCCAGCTGGTTCCATAACCACATTAAATAGAACTAGTATTTCTTTAAATACTTTGATTTAGACATAAAATGAAACATTAGTGTACAACTTTCACAAAATAAATCTGCAATAAAAACAGTGGGAAGAATAACAAGGATAGCAGCAATACTTAAACATGACATTACAAAATAATAAATTAAAAAAATACATTATAAAGTGGTTGAGGAACAAAAAATTAACAAATTAAAAACAGATCCATACTGTGTTTCTGGGAACTCGCTGTGCCACACGGCCCTGAACCTGGGCACCGGCTCCAGAGGGCCCGGTGGCCGGATCACTAATTTACAAAATCTGTTGGATTTCATAACCACCTCGACTTGAACTAAGTACATACTGCTGAGCAAACGCCGATTTCACCATCTGGAGCTTCGAGCAGCCTTTTTGAAGCAGGGTCTCGTCTAACATAATGCCCAAGTTAGCGCTAACATTCATAAAACAGTCTCCTTTCTTCCCGATTTAAAACACGAGCAAAGTGGTGGTTTCCTACATCCCTGAGCATATAGTATAGGCTGATGAGCAGTATCAGGGCAAGCACTGGAGGTCTGTGCCAACGGACCAGCTTTTAGGTTTGCCTTTAGGACAGGAACAAAAGACACACCGTACCTTGTGTTTCCTTCAGGTCAGATCCAAGAGTATCAGTGTACAAGGTGGAACGCGTAAGGACAAAATGAACAACCAGACTCGATGTTATTCTTTGGGCGAGTTTGAGAAGTAACAACCAGTTCAAGTGCTGGCAGACCAAGTGGGAATAAAACATACAAATTCAGACGGCTGAGGTTAGCCGGAGAGCTCCCGAGACCTCAGAGAGTCAACGGCTCAAGCCACGCAGACTCTTGTTTGCACTTCATCCTTCCCTGGCCTTGAAACCAGCCACAGGAAGAACAAGCCATCGCTTAAAACCCATTCTGCCTCGCTTTTCTTTCCTCCATCCACCCAACCAGCTTTAAGGCCTGCCTCAAACACACGTACAGAACAATACAAAAAAATGTCTTCATCGTCACTGGAGTGGCACAAAACTGCAAAGACAACACGATGGGAGAGGTGGTGCAGCTGTTTGAAAAGAGAACTGAAATAATTAAAAAGACAGTGCCCTATTCTCGTTACTGTCAGCACGGAGGAGGTACCTTGACACGGGCTTTTAGATACAGCAAAAAACAGACGGACTTTTCAAAACAACAATCCTTGCCTATTCTTACTTTGTGCATTCAATAAAACACCGACCTAGCAAAGACATTAGGAACTATCGTATGTCAACCGTGTCATTGACACAAAGCTACCCGACCTATAGATCTCCAAATCAAGGGCCTTTACCTTCACCTCGCTTGGTTTTTACTGAGCCAGCTGTGCTGCATGTAGAGCTTGCGTGACAGGATTTTCGTTAGTAGTGGGCTTTAGTATCTGGGTTTGGGTTTGTTTTTTTGTGTTTTGTTTTTTTTTTAAAACTCTTTTAGTGAAAAATCCACATGAGACTGCATGCAAAGCTTTTGGGCAATAATCCATTTTGCGTTTTTTTTTTTTTCCCCCCCCTGACTGGTTTATTGCACATTCAAACGTACTGAAAGGATTAAATACACTCTATGAACAGGTACGACTTCACAGCCATTTTGAAAAGCCAGGGCTGTGGGGATTCTGCTACTCAGCCCAAGACCGCGCAGATGCTTCTCTGCAGAAGGTTGCATTTCCTCTCTTTTCTGCAAAGGAGTCGCGTAGTTTCACTTACGTCCCAACAACCAGTACTGCAGAAACTGGTCCCCAAGTGCCAAAAGATTCCTACAGAACATGGGTCTAAATACGCCTCTCCTGTACAGCCTTGCAGGATGAGCATCTTTAGCCACCCCGTGCAAATCTCACAATATGGTACAGTTTTACACCTCCAATGCAATCCTTACTCCCAACAACAAATCACAAGAATTATGGTCAATGGAAAAAAGAAAACCACGAACAAACAAAACAGAGAAAGATGCCAGGGTTTTGACAAGTGTCTACTTTCTGTCCTATCACAGTTTAAAGCTATTATCAAATTCAATTAAAAAAAGACAAAATAGAAGTATTCCAGTAGACATCTTCTAAGAACGATTTCTTACCCACAGCTGAATTTCAATGCACTATTCCATAAACATAACATCTGTTAAATGTTTCAGAAATGAATCTCTCTAAAAATCAGGCTTGCCAAAGAAAAAAAATCCTATACAAGCAAGTCTGCTTTACTTAAGTTCAGACATGTTCGATAGACAACTGGGTCTTTCCGAAGCCGTGTTATTTGTTAAAATACTGTCTCATCTTGGTGTGCAAACTGGAAAAAATGTTAGTGATTCAGGTATTTGATTTGCTTTTGTTTCCCCTGGGAAGTCGTTTTAGCAATGTGTTAGAGAACAAACCTTGTAATATTAGTTTTAGATATTTGAAAAAATAGCCTTATATGGCTCTCTGGAGAAATTTTCATCCCTACAGAACTGAAGTCATAAATTCTTCCAATAGCTTTCCATAGCATTTAAAATGTACTCACTATATAGTTACCCTTTTACCTCAACCTCCAAATAAACCTTCCCCACGGCCAAAAACTTCAGAACAGAAGTCTGCTCTGTTAACTTAGCTTTTGGCGATTTCAATGCGAGTCGTAGAATTTGAAGTCACACAAACACATCTCGGGTAAAACAGTGGCACAGAAATCACAGCTTTGGGATTGAACAGATTTTTATCCCCTCTCTCCTCCTTACAAGGCTTCTCTGCAAGGTACTTATATCTGAACGAACTATGGAAAGTAATTCTGCAGGAGGAAATAATTGTTTTCATGTGCAAAACAATTAGATTTCAGCCAGGACGACCAAAAAGAAATCATACAATACCATTTAAGCTGTCCCAGATTCCTTCACTTTTCTCAAGGTGAGCCACAGCTTCCACTGGGAGCTTCCTGCTAAGGCAGAGCTTGGATTTCTTTACCTTTCAATTAAGTGTTCATATGGAGGTATTTTCTGCTAGAAGTTTACTTTTTAAACGGGTGTTTAAAATGTGCAATGCAAATTCCAGTGCCAGTCAGACACTCTGCACCCGCCGGACTCTACAAGGGCTCAAGCTTGATTTAAGACAAACTAACCAGGTACACCTACCAGTTGCAAGTCCTCAGCAAATCAAGCTCATTCTTAATTACACTTTGATTCTCCTATTAAAAAAACCCCACAGGTCACTGACCCTATCACAATATGTGTTACAAATCTAGCAGAATATCCTGTGTAACCAAAGCCAAATGCTGAACTTGGCTGTATTTCGTTTTACGGGGGATGGAAGAAGAGGGAAGGGGTTATTGTAACAAAGGGGAGAAAATAGAGTTGGAAACCACCAAAAGCCCCTACCCCCAACCCTCATCCACCAGCGGTGGAAGGGAAACAGCCCCATCTCTAAGTTGTCTAGAGTTCCGATGCTTCAGACAGCTTAGCAGGAAGTTCACAGCAAGCTTCTTCTAGCTTTTGATTTGGTGGTCCATGAGCTAGCATCTGTTTCCTTTGGTTGCTTTTTCACTCCACAGCAAACCCACATGTCTCTTCCACAGCTGTCAACAGCTTCTCATAAAGCTTCTCGTACGACTCATAAGGCGGAATGTCAATCCGGTTAAAGCTAGAGGTAAAATAACACATTGCAGCATATGAATCTAAAATATTTATTGGAAAAAAGAAATCCTACATCAGCTCCATATAGATAGAATTTGTAAAAATCAAAGAAAGCCTCAGCCACTTCAGTGGCCACAGGAGACAAGATAAAAGACAACTGTATTTCTGCAGCAGGAATGCACGACTTAACAGGGCAGCGTTTGGGAGGAGGCGGCAGGTGGCAGATGCAGGAGACTTGCAAAGAAAGCAAGACATCAGACAGGCCTACTCCCTGCTCTGCCTGCAGACGATCTGTGCCGCTGCTGAAATGATTTCCTGTCTCTGATAGAGTGAGACTTCCGTACAAGAGCTCAGCTCTGTGCCTATACTGCACCAAGAGCGCACTTTTCCTACGTTTTACATCTGAAAACTATTTGTTGTAATCCTGCATGAGGACTCATTGCTGTGACTCATTTCTCGGTGAATACTTTTGCTGAACACGTAGAAAGAAAAAAAAAAACCAAAAAACTTACAAACATCTCACTATCCAGAATAATCAACTCTGGGATAAACGAAAACCACAAATAGTATAGAAGACAAATCAAGCTTTAAGAAGGTAAGTCGATTATTTTGCTGGCTGCAGAGTACAGATATTTCCAAGCTAGCAAAGCACACTTGGGAGTCATCTATGCGTGTCACATGGCTAATCCATACCCAGGACAAACAGAGATGACTCCTTTAAACCAATACAAAGGGAAAGCGAGCGCTGACATGCAGAATGTTTTCATCTTACCAAGTATGGGCTTTTGGAAGGTTGTCTGTGTTTGCATCTATTAAATGGATGGTAAACAGCCTGGGTCCTGCAGCGCCTGTAGAACCTTACAGACAGACATCCTAGTTAATGCACTTCAACAAAACACCATTCACGCACACAGATTCTGCTACTTATAAAAAGGCAAGAGAGAAAATTACAGTTCCAGCTGCAAACATAAGTATGTCATAGGCTAAATCTGTAGATCAGATTTGCAGCTGATGAAGGGATGGCAGAAGCAATAGCGCTGTTCGTGACAATTAATTTGCAGACTAGTATTTTGGAAAGCTGCTAAGTTTTACGTTAACAAAGTTGCACCTTCAAAAATGAAAAGACTTAAGTGCAAGAAGGTTTTTCTTGTAAAACAGAACTATGTATTTTAATTTTGAACATCAGTTTACTGTCAGCCAACAGATGGAACGTTACCAGGAGAATCACAACAGCCTAAGAAACTGCTACCTTTTCTGATGACAAAAATTGCAGTTTTCAGGAACTTGTTTTAAAATCCAATGGTTTGTTGTCAAACAACGAAGAGAATACAATTTTAATGTGAAAAAATTGTTTGGTCAGCTCTATAATCATGCGCGTGCTTGCATGCAATTATTTTAACAGTCCGCAGAGTTGTAGGAGACTGATAAGCTAATATTGACACCAGTCGAAGTGCGATGACAGATTGACCAGCTTGTATCATTATCAGCAACAGCTAAAGTGTTCGCCATCAGCAGAGCTGCTGACAAATGAAAAACTGCTCTTGGGATCAAAAGTTTTTAAGTGCTTGAGTTATTCAGTAATACACTGATGTTCTACAAGGGGCTAGTAAATTCCAGACGATTTTTATCTCTTTCTCCCACCACAGATTAACTTGGCCTCCACATCAGTCACCTTGTAAAGCCTTGAAACCTTGAAGTGGGACACGCGTCGAACCCGTCACAAACTGCAGCAGCCTTGCCCTTCTTTCCTCATCAAATGTTTCCACTGCTTGCCAGAACCACTTCACAATATTGCTATCTGCCATGCAGTGCTTTAGACGTGTGTTTGACTTCCAGTCGTTCAGGTCTATCTTATCCAGGCCTCCTATGATTAGCTGTTAAAGGATTAGAAAATGCTTCAACATTCAGAGTAATTTCAGGTTTGCAGCTATAAAAACATACACCCAACCATTTCACGAAGCCTAGCATTCTTCACGCGCTTGAACCACCTTTTTGGTGCACGGCAACGCTCCAAAACAGTTTGGAACAGGCAGTAAATCTCTCCAGTTAAACTGCAATGAAACTGGCCAAGGAGTACATTTACCAGAACCAGAATTTTCACAAGAAACGAGAGTCAGAAGCCCATTTGAGACCTGCTTTGTTAAATCTATCCTACCTGAAAAGTACAGCATATCTTTAGGAGGGTACAGCACAGACTTGGAAGAAGGCATGCCATCTACTGCGCTACACAACATCATTGTCCTGAAGCAGGTTTGTCCTAGAGGTGCCGATACCGACTATGACAGAATCCTGCTTGGTTTATGGTAACATCCTAGTTGGTTTGTTGTTCCACAACAAACTACAGAAACTTTGCATCTGTTTTCTGATGTCGTTTGTGAGAGGCTCTGACTCAGACCAGACATACTACTTCAATCTCTTTTCCAGATGACACCAGGTTGCAAAATACTGTAAAAGGAAGTCACTGCTGGCCATGAATCTAACCACCTCCCCTGGCAACGACAAATAAACGGCATAGAGAAAACTTCATCCCTCAAAACAAAATGTGCGTCATATTCTAAATGTCCCATAATATTCCATATTGAGGATCACATTTCTGAGAGCAACCATTTAGCAGCTGCCTTTTTGTGCCACTGAGACAGCACCCACTTACACTCATTTACATTATTAGGACAGTTGTGACTGTTCTGATGCAGATAGTATTTAAATATTTAATGGATTTTTAATCTGCCTTTTCAAGCAGCTAGCAAATGGCATGCAATAACTTCACGGGATTAATCAGTATGCACGAACGACTAGCACGAAGGTAGTGCTTCCAATACCACAAATGGTCCATATTCCACAGGTTGCCTTATTTTTTTAAAAAGGCGAAAACAGAGGAAAAATTGCTCTAACAGGAATTATTTTAAGACGCAGCATTCTGCATCTCAGGAGTAAACGAGAAGACAAATTCATTTATTTTCTATATGCTCCACACTTCTATTTTAGTTCCTGTAAACCATGCCCTGCGTGAATACAGGAACAGCCATGCATGAAAACAGTTACTGAAGAAAACAAGTTCTGGGGTAGATAACACATTAGGTCTTGCCAACCATTCCTCAAACTTGCAGTACTCCCTCCTTGCTCAGACCACCTGCTTTAAGCATTAGTCCTTGGTTAGACAACACAGTGTATTTGTCTTTCCCTGTTTAAGTAGCCCTCTCAACAACGTTAACCCAAACAATGTCTAGAATAAACCAAAAGGAGTTTGGTTAAACAAATACACAGCTTTCTGGTACATAAATTGGAATAAGTTTTGTGGGTTTGTTGTTTGTTTGTTTGGTTTTTTTAAATCAGTGCTTGGTTGTAAATCAAACAAGTTACGAAACAATATTCCATGTGGATAAAACATATACCTCAAGTTCCTTCTGGTCAAAAGGCTTAAGGAGATGTTGAGGAATAAGTTCATTAAAACCTTTCTGCAGAGCCAGAAACTGTGCCTCTATTCCTCTCATAAATCGCCAGTTTACATACAACCTGGGGGAAAAAAGAAAAAGTCAGGGATGATGAGCTAGATAGGACCGGGCTTTTCATAGCAGAGCTGGAAAATGCTCGTTTTACCGAGGAGCTTGTTTTAATACATAAATTTTGTATTATGAAAGAAGTGCTTATCAGTTCCTTTTTCCATCAACAATTAATTACTGCACCACCAACAGAAAAACCAAAGTACAATTCACAGCTTCGTCTTCCCAGGTCTTACAATAGGGCATTGTGTGAAAACGCTCCGGTCATTTATGACTCAGGTATTTCCCCCCAAAATACTTATTTCACTAGTTTCACTATATAAAAAAATTAATCTGTTTACTACCTTCTTCCCATTACATTTGCAGGATCTATTTTTGTTCTGCAATACCTGACATATTCTTTCTTGTTCTCTTCTGTCACTGGAATATTCCTGCCATTTGGTTTGAGTTCATGCTGTAAAATCCGCCCAAAAGCATTGTGCTCCACACAAAAAGTATGGTCCAGAACTGGGGTGATATCGTTCTCTCTGACAATGGAAAGATAAAAGGTAAACCTAGTATTTTTGATATTTTGATAACTCTCAGCAGTGATACTGACAGTTTGTTATTTGAACACTTAGTCAGTCTTCAGGACAAACCCAGTAACTAACCATCTGCATTTCACACCACTAGAGTAATATTGCCACGGTCACCAATTTCCATGGAGCTTAATGCCTGTTGAAGAGCCTGACCAGGTATGAGTCACCCATCTAATTCTAGTAGTACTCACAATAATTAATTAAACCCTATATACACAAACGCACACACATATATATTCTATTTTTAGGTATATACACACACAGAGCAATAAACTATCTGCTGTCATTTATCAGCGTGAAGCACAGAAGAGATCGCATGCAGTGAATTTCAATGACATCAATAACTTCAAATACAAAGCAGAGTTGGAGAGTCCCAAAGCTACACCGAATGGTGGATTTTGTTCTGAACTGTAGTGTACAGAAGTCCAAGCTAATTCCATTTATTTCCTTTTCAATAAAAGTTGGTTCTCTCTTGAACCAGGCTGTACTTCCCCTCAGAACTCTGTCCTGAGTTTGCATTTTGATATTGTGATATTCTACCACACCCATGCAATGTTTAATAATTTAGTATCTGCTTTGCTGCAAGGAGAGCTAACAGAGTTTGCAATAAGAACTTTTCCTCAAGTACCTTGAGCTTTCCGACATAGAAACAGTAGTTTAATAATTTTGTACAGACCTCCCCCATTACAAGATTTTTGCAAACATTTTCTATAAAGCGTTATCTCACTACTGCCAACATACTCTACCCCATCTTCTCTACAGCAAGGCAATATATAAATACAGTACTTACAAGATCCAGACTAAACTTTTGTGTAATTCTGGGTCAACAGATTCCAGATCGGAGAGCTGAATGGGTTTACCCAGAAGCTGTTTGTAAAAGGGAACCGTGAAACCCCCATTGATATAGTGTCCATGGAACACAGCCAAACCCATTATCCGACCAACAAAATGGAAATAAGACAAATGGTCCTGCAGGGAGAGAGGAGGGAAAAAATCAGGCAGCGGGAAGACACTGACATCTTGTGGTTATATCTGCACCATCAGTTGTATGTTCAGTGCAAGTTATCTGCAGCCCTCTGGGTAAGAGGGGCCACCATTTTTCCTCATAACATAACCAAGAACAGAACCATTTAATGATTAAATGCCTCAAACAAGTCTCTGTGCATTACCCGGCTAATAAATTGGATACAAGTCCTCTAGACCTCTCAAAGGGCAAAACTCAGGAAAAGAAAATCCCCATGAAATCCCCAGAATCCAAGATACAACAATTCCAAATAAATTAGTTTGTCCTTTGTTTAACCGTCAAAATCGTTTTGCTCTTGAAGAAGCAGGCCACGTGCTTGTTTCCTTCATGTCTTTCATGTTGCTTATAAACTGACTTTTGAAAACTGAGGCATAAGTCCTACGGTTGAGATTCCTCCAATCTATCTCCCCCATCTCACAGAGCAAATGTCAGGAAATGTCACGTCAGGAAAAATTCCCCTGTACCAATACATAATTGCTGCTCTTTTTAGGGTCTGCATCAATACAATTCCTCCAGTGAGGAAAAAAAAAGCAAGCACAGCAGCTTGTTGAGAAAGGGCAAGCAAGGCATACAAGCCCCTAGAGTCATGGGATGAACGCTGCTTAGGATGCAATGCTGTTTACACAACCGCCTGCATTCACAGTGAAGATGAATTTCACCTTCGTGTATCTTCTCAGAATCATCGTGCATCCTGGTCAGTACTGAGGAGTCTCAAAGGAATCGGATACTTCTCAAAGAATACCTCCTCTCTCCTGTTTTACATTTCTGAACAAAATCCCTCTACTTCATACTGTATCAATATAAGACTCGTTAACACATTCTTATTCTGCTTTACCCTTCGTTTACACTCTTATTGTAGAGTGGAAGAACAGCTACAACAAAAAACTGCAGGGGACCTCTGTTAAAGTAGGTATGTCGCTTAGAAGTTAATACTTACAGGATTGATAGAAGAGTCTGGATTGATTTGCAGCATGTAAATATTATCTGTGGAGTACTGGAAGAGTCCATAATAGGGATTTAACATTTCATGGCACAGTAAATACAACCATTCTCTGCCAAAAAAAAAAAGTATTTTAGAAGGGTGCAACTTCCACTTAAGTTTCAGACAACACAATTATCGTGAATCATCAAACTAGCCATCAGTTATGAAAGGCTTATTTCAAAATTGGATCACATTGTACTGCCCTCCATTTGCAGACCAAAAAGGTACGCTTAAAAACCCATGAAGTGTCTTACTCCACTCACAGGCAGACTTGTTTTAGTTTAGAAGTACTGAAGGGATTAACATCAATTAGAGAAGCTATAGCAATCTGTTAAGACGCCATCAACAAATTGAGTCTGAACAAGACCCACTTCCAAAAAAACTTGACTTTGTACACAGTTCAGATATTTAGAGACTAAGAGATCCCCTCCTCTGCAACCTGTACAGTATAAAGAAATACTCAAAAAAATCTGTTGTTTAAAATCAGCTCAATCACTTTAGAAAAGTCTTTAGAAAAGCTGTTTTTCTGCAAATGCTTGATGACTAGAGAATCTCTGCTTTCAGCAGAGAGCCCAGAAGGGGCAGAGAGACCGAACACATTAAGGGAGGAGAGCTTAGGTAAATTCTCTCACCTCAGTAACAAATAAGGACTGGAATGGAACTAAAGCTATTTCTGACCTCCCAACTCACCATGACAAATACCCCTTTATTATTAAATTTGGACACCCATCCCAGGTCCAAAATATTCTGAGAGAACTATCAACTTTAATGCTTAGAAGTGGAGCAGTACTGATCTGAAAAGAGTCTGTTGCAGCAAATGGGCAATTATGAAAGCCATCAGGGCAACAGGATGTCAACAGCAGAGACACTCAAGGTTGCCTCGGGTAAGGCAGCTCAGAATGTTCCAACTTCTTTCCTTTGTCCAGCGATGGGTTACTGAAAGACACCTAAGTGGGTGGTGTAGCCTTTGTTTAGGATTAGTTCATCTCCACTCCTGCTCCAACAGATCAGAGGACTCTCCTGAATGTGGGAAAAGGAACCCCTGTTGTCTTGCAATCCTTTCACTGGAAATCAGACAGGTGTATTTAACAGAACCTCTACTGTGATTTGGATTTTACTTCAGAGTCTATATGCTTCTTGAAAGACCTCACAATTCGAGCTGATCACACTGTCATTTATGAAACTGGGGCCTGTTGCTGGGATCAGCACTTTCTGCAGTAAGATCAATAGCCTATCCTAGACAAGCCTTTCACACTCGCTGGGTAATGGTGATGAAAACAGACTACGTATAGGGAAGAGGGGAAACAAACACCTCAGTGTGGCATTAATTCCAGTAACGTTCCCAAATCCAAGGCAAACCAAATCATTTAGTACGAGCCTTTGACACCAGGAGGGCTGTGGGACAACTGTTAAATCACATGCTTCCACTTTCCAATCTACCATGAAACCAAGACTGAACCTACAACCACTACCTATAAACTAGATCACAAATAACTTAAATATACCATTAACAGATAATTTGAAAGGGAATTATATCAGCCACAGGTCACTTTAAAGACAATTTTACAGTTAAAAATGTCAGACAACCCCCCAAATCTCACCTTGCTACTCCTCCATAATCCAGGCCTTCCTCTCCTCGAAATTTCACCATAAGCCTCTTTTTCAAGTCCTTTGGCCTCATCTTCATTATCTGACGGTAGGATTCCTGTATGTGTATTTTTACAATTAGACATTTTATTTCCTTCCTATAATTAAGTCTACTAAGATGCATTACTGTAATACATAGATTGCTACTCAACTACGAAAAACCATTCTGTTAAAGTGCTAATCTGAAGCAAATTCCAGTGACAACTCTTAACACTTGGTGGTATTCACCACCTCTTTCGTGAAGCAGACTTGCTATAATCAAAGATCAGTTTTACTTAACTCTTGAGTTACAAAAGCTACTAATAGTAGTAAAAAGTCAATCAAATACCTCAAATATTTCCTCTCTGGATACTTCAATGCGGCAGTGACCAGCCTGCGGTTGCTGAAGAGAGAGCTCATGTCTAAGAACTTTCAACTTTTGTACCAAGTCTCTTTCATATCTTTGTGCTGGCAACTCCTCACCGTCTTCTAGTGACCCCTCATTTGGAGCTGGCAGAGGCTGCTGGCTGGGCTCTTTTAGCTGGCATTGATGGCTGTGAAAGTGGAAGCATAACAATAAGGAACATGTAAAACAATGATGGAAGAACTGAGTAAGCTTCTCTAAGAGGAACCTGGAGTGAACTGTATATTCAGCTGGGTAGCTTCTATAGCATCATTACCCTACATTGAGGGACATAAGGAATACAGATATCTACAATAAAGAGTTTCAGCATTTTTCAGCTCAGTTTTTATACGGCAACACATTGTGGAAGGCTGTGGAGCATGATCACTGCATGCTGACTGAGCAGTAATTAAAAAGTTTGCGTGGTATTTCTCCCATAGAGTGACAACTTTCAAGAGTGTAACATGAAAAGAGACCTCTAACGGAACAAACAACAGCTTTATAAATGGAACTATCTAACAACTGCAATGAATTTTATTCCAGCTCCATGCAAACTAAAGCTGGGGATTCTTGACACAGTAAAAGTACTGCATGTATAGTTATTAAAAGAGGAAGATGTACTTGTCCCAAATAGTTGCAGCTTCATACATTCAACTATCCTTATCTATCAGTGTTTTATTTGCATTGTGGAGCAATGATTTTTTAGATGCAGAGATTCCCCAGCTGGCTTCAAGCACAGACAACTCAGATCCAGGAAAAAGTCTGATCTTGGGCACAACGAGCACTGCCAGGCTGCTTCCAGGGTCAGTTCTGTAACAGTTCAGCTGCCTTTGCATGATGCAGAGCTTGAGCTTATTAAATCCTGCTAAACCCGAGCTGGCTGTGCACAGCACCAGGCAACCAGACTCCAGCTGGCTTTATATTCCTCTTGTCTGGAGCTCACAGGAGCACAAAGCCAGTTCAGGTCTAGCATAGCTAGCACAGAGCTAGAACTGCTAACCCAGGCAGGCATGAGCTGACTGCTGTGGAACTGCCTGGCAGATCCTCTACCCCACACCCCAGCGTTTCCAGAACTGCCTATTCACTCCAGCACAGCTTGGTGCAACTTTGTGGTGCAAGCTCAGAGATCAGTGCTGTGCCGAAATAAGCAAGCCCTCCCTTAAACTTGAGGACTGCAAAGCATAGTAAAAACATTTTTGAAGAGTCTCTGCAAAAAGCTTAGATAAAACCAGCACTGAGAACCGATGCTCTGACCCTGACTAGAGCGTTGGTTGCATCTGTTCCCCAATGTCGTTATCATGCAGTTTTTCAGCCCCTCATGGCTCCCAGACTGTATTAAAATTGGACAAAAATAAAAAGTTTAAGAATCCAAACTTGACATGAATTATTTAGCAGGCAAGGTTCTTACTTCATGATGTGATGTAGTCGTGGATCTGTGAATTGTGTGGTTCTGTTGTTATGATCTACAAAATATATTCTTCCTGAAACTGTACTTCTAACTTCCCAACCTGGAGGCAAAGGTCCTAGTTCATCACAATTCACACTGTTAAGGTCTCTAAGGAGAAAAGCAAACAAAATGTTAAAGCACTTCTGAAGTTAAGATGAAACCAATTCACATTCAGGGTAGAGGGGGGAATGAATTTGGTGCTCAGTGATTCCAGGCTATGAAAGTCTTAGGAAGGACAGAATAGCTATTTTAATGCTGTCTTTTTAGAATCCTCAATCTAAGCAGTGCAACTCCCTATGTATGCATGGTACATGGATAGAAAGGTAAATCAGCAAAACACCTTCTGTCTTTGAAAAGCTTTGAAAGTAACAAAGCCATACAGCTTAAAAGTAACTTCAATATGCAACATCATCATTTAGCTGATGACAGGGCTTCTGAGGGCTGTAAAAGGAGGAAGAGACATTTTTTCATAGCAAAAATTTCAAAGAAAAATTCCCATTAACACTAATGTGATCCACGTGCAGAAAACCAAACAATTAACCAAAGGCCTCTGCACCAACCACTGTCTCCAAACACCCAATAAGTTAAGAGGCTAAGGCAGCCAAGTACTAAGATCACCTATCACCTAAAAAAAAGAAATCACCTCTTTAATTAGACAAGGTTAGAATCCTAACTATTTGACTGATAAATCATTGAGAATAAGGCTTTACTAACACATTCACCCCCTTCATCCTAGATAAATTTTGGGTATCATTCTAAGTGCTGCTAAAGGTGGTCGCTCACTTTCAGGTAGTGGTTGAATTCAATACATAGGAGGTATTTACACCTAGAAAATTGAAAAGACTTATGCCCCAGCCACCTAATAGAGGAAAACACTAAGAGTGGCAAGAAAAGGAAGGAGGGAAACCTGAAGATTATTTTTAGACAGAAAAGCTATTGTTAAGTAAAATATTCTCTAGACAGCTGGCATGGATTCATCTTATTATCCAGGGTTGAAGACACCACTCTATGTATTTCCTTACCTAAATCTAACCATGCAGCATCACTATAAATGAGAAAACTGTGAGGCTTTAGAAAGGTAGAAACACTTTGTACACCAAAGGCTTCATCAGTGTCACAGTGTGTGTAAGTCAGCAGGAGATCCACAGGCAGACAGACGAGCCTTTGTTAGGCTCCTTAAAGAAGATTATGGTTGTAACCATTTGTTTCAATCAGCTGTGCATCTGAAAGTACTATAGAGATCTGATTACATCAAGTTTTAACCGACATCTGTGCTAAAAGCCAAGGTTAGGTTTTTGCACTGCAAGTTGGTAGTATGAAAGCCACCTTTAACTAAAACAAGAGTGACCTGTGACTCACAAGACACTGTTGTGTCCACTTACATTGCTGGTCCTGAAAACCTGGCTCTAAGATTTGTTGAGAGAAGCAGCAATACCTTTCATTAGGCCAACCAGCATCACTTGAAGAAGGGACAAGGCTTTGGGCACGCAAGCCTGACACGAGTGACATGAACGAATGAGCATTGTCATTTCTTCTTCCAGCGATACCAGCTAATCTAACATCAGCTATTTTCTCTCTCTCAACTTTATTTTTCATATCCTTCCATATACTGTGGTTTTATCAACACTTTTGCCTACACTATTTTATATCATTTTTCTAATATCCTGTATCTCATTCATGTATTATCCAGCCAGTGCAGGAGCTGAAGTTACAAACTTAGTGTTTCACTCTTGAATCTGGTGTGCAGGTGGTCCAGAGAAACAGCCCAGATTCAGAGCTCCTCAAGGAAGAGCGCCAGACCTTAGTCACAAAGACCTGGATTAACTGCAGGTTAAGGTTTAAAGAGGCTTTACTAAATTAATCATGTGGAGGATTCAAATTTTCTAGCTGCAAATCATTGGTCTAAAGCATAAAAAACCCCAACACCACTTCAAGTTTAAAGGTGACAAGTAATCCCTGCTTCAGTTATACTTAAGTGAGCACTATTAGAGCAAAAGTTACAAGTTCAATATTCAAGAAACAACGGCTTTAAGTAGTTACTTTTTTCCTTCAATTTGCAGTCCAAACTGTTTTCATACAAAAAAAAAAAGATTAGGCAAGATTCAGAAATCTGTAGCTTCACCAAAAAACAGTCACATTGACATCTTAGGAAGAATTTGTCAAACGGGAGTTCCTGAAGGACTACATATTTTTTCCCTTTTGTTTTACATGATTCACAAGTAGATAATTCTTTCTTTCAAAAAGAACACAATCTTTAACGTTTGGTGAAAAGGTAACTAGAAAGATCCAAAATTATTCCTCTGCTCATAAAGCTCTCCCTCTAAATTTAGACAGGCCATTTCATAGATTTTTGCTCTTAAAGATTCAGCTTACTGCCATGCACCCTTCCCCCTCCAAAAAAACCCCAAACACCTTGACTTTGTAACTATAAATACATACCTTGGTATCCTAGGGTCATGCCATGTGCTAACTCCAGTCTGCGTGTGCAAAAAATAAACCTGTCCCTGTACCGTTGTTCTTTGTTCTATGAAAAGGGAAGTAAGATTATTCTTAATTACAAATCTGAAAAAATCAGAATAAGCAGTTTGTTCAAAGCCATTAGCATATTATCTTTCTGTCAGAGCTAGGAGAAAGTACTTGAGCCATCCCACCTGATCTCTTGCAGCATGGACTGTTTTGTCCTTAAACACTGTCTTTGCAAACTTACTTGACTACACATTTCAGTGTTCTTTTTGAAACACACAAATCCATGCACCAGTATGTTTTAGTTTGCAGTTTTATTTTTAGGTTTTGAGACAACCAAAACCCCCAAACTGGATTTCTTTACTCCTAGATTCGGTGTGCTCTTTTCCGAGATTTAAATTCTCCTTAATCTTATCCTCCCTAATCTTCTGTACTACTGGCTTCTTTGTTGCTTTTATATTTTCCTGATCTTTTCTCAAACGTGGGCTCAAACCTACACAACATGCCAAGGGGGAAGGAAAAAATAGCATTACTGCTCCAGTTTAAAGAGCTCTTTACATTCGTTCTCCCTAGATACACAGCCAAGATTAGCAGTGAATTTTCTGTAACAGCATCATACCACAACCTCATGTTTAATTTACCATCAACCCCTCAGTGTATCCTGGCATAGCCAACTGCTAATTAGCCAATCTCAAACTCCCACCCGCACTGCTTAGTTCCTTTTCCAAAATGCAGACCATTAGATACACGTGGATGCTGCATGTTTTAACAGGTAAACCATATCTATGTATTAAAATGGGAGAATTTTTCTCTGAAGTCTTTTGAAAAAAACTTCAGTTTTATAGTTCTGGAAAACTCTTACCGTAGCCTTCTGGTAGGTCAGGCGACTGGTGACCATGTGGTCTGTTCTGAGGTGTCTGTACGTGACCTCTGACTTCAGGGGTCCGAAGTCGCTGTGCCTGAAGCCTCTGATCTTGACTGGGGGACTCTACGAAGCGACAGTTGCCTCCGCCAGCAGCCCCCGTAGTGTCTGTATACGGTGCTGGTTCCTCCATAAAACAGCTCAGCGGCCTTCCCGGTCCGGAATCTTCATAAACCGTTCTGAAAATGGGGAAACTTCAAGAGTTTCCATCACAGAGAAGCGAATGCGGAAATAACGGTTTCTCTCTCTCGCGCGCTCCATTACTTCAAGTAGTGCAACTTTTAACCCAAGATATGCCACTTTTGTAATGTTTTTATACCCCAAATTTATCATGGATGTGCCAGAAGCACTGGTAACAAAAAATATCAAGTCCTACCCAGCTTAGCTTACTTTCTTCAATTAAGTATTCATCTATAACCTTATTACCTGGTACATATTCCCAGACAATATCTTAGTCACACTGATGTTTACTATTTCTAGTGTTAATTATATTCTTTCCACATATAAACCATTTTTCTAAATAAGTGTAAAGAAAACAATCCTTACCCTTCATTCTCCAAAAGCCCTCTACAGTCTACTACAGAACCTCCTGTGCCTATTCTGTCCCGTGCCTGTAAACTGACTGGAATAAAAAAACCAAACACAAGTTAATAATAAAAGAACAACAAGTTCCCTTAAAAACAACATAAAGCCAAACAACCCCCAATTATACAGGGTAAAATATTAAGGAAAGCTATAGCCTACACACGAGAGCACACCACTTACCAAAACTCCTTCTATAACCCTAAAGCATTACTGATTTTTTAAAAGTGGAGAAGAGAAACCAGAGGCATCACCACATCAAAACTTAAACCGAGTCTATTTCTGTAAATAGCAAACATGTCCGGTTTTACATCTGTGTTTCATGACGATCCAGAAAGGTAAGCTGGAAAGAAATTACTCACCACTAGATGTCATCATTACGGTGAGAATTTGGGTTTTGCCAAATATATTTATATATCAATGAAAAGCTTGAGTCGGGTTGGGGGCAGCAAAACGTGGTAAGATGGGGTAAATTAGCCGTAAAACTAGCACTGCCTTGTTGAAATTTGGAAATGCGTTACATGAGTCAAAGGTATTAAAACAGCAATTTGCAAAATTTCTTTTAACTCCTCCAGATGCTCTTTTCCACAATAAGATTCTCTTTGCCCGTCACCTTGGTTCAAATGCAGTGTTTCACAGTAACATTTACCCTTCCAGAGCTGCATTAGAAACCTTGCCAGATGCATTCCTTCTTTTTAATATTGTTTCCCATTATCAACTGAGAGAAAACAAACTCCTACATAGGAGTACAATGAAAATTTTCAGTTTATGTAATTTAATCCCATGGAAGTCAGAAGAAACAACCCAGAAAAGGCACAGAAGCAATAATGACTACAGGTTTCTTTTTTAACACATTTGTCCATACAGTATATTTACCTAAGAAGATGAAAGTTTAGCTGAGAGTATTCTTACCCACTATTTGGCCTCGTACAGCATCGGTATCTGTGGGATTTAGTTTGCATAGATCCAAACGCTGGTCTGCAAATGAGAATAGGAAAGATCAACAAAACACTGTGCGAGGGGGGGGGGGAGATATTATTCACTACTCAGATACAAGGCACCGAAGGTTCCTGATTGCACCAGGTGGGAATTGCTCTTACATCCAGTATCTTTTAGCCTGCTGATGGCATTGGAGAGGAGTCGGACACACCCCAGGAAGCCAGCTCCCTGTTTCTTGTGGATTTTTTTATGGTTCCATACACTGATGGTTATGGAATCTGTCTTCCCAACATATCTGGAAAAATACATATTGGAAGAGTAATTTTACAAAAAAGAACCTCTTTTTACTCCACAGAATTTATGCTTTATTTGGTACAAATTCCGATACATTTTAGTGCATTGGTCATACTGCTTCATTATAAATACAGAAGTGCTTAAGCCTGAAATGGTGTTGTTAATGAATTACTGCACTATGATTTCACACAGCACGTTAAATTGATATTGCTGCAGCATGAATTTAACTACAGACAGCCTCATTAAAAGCTATGCAACAAGCCGATTAACGTACAAAACTTTAAAATTTATGTTTCTAATAATTTGAAGAAAATAAATCACTACAACAAGGACAATCTTTTGTAAAGGCTGGACTGCACTGCTCCAGTAGAGCTTACTCTAAGCAGTTGTGCAGTGCAGCTGACACACAAATATTTCCAAATTCAAATGCCTAAAAGCAAAGTACCACTCCTTTATTAACAGGTAATCTCTTGTTGCAAAAAATCAGTCCTCCTCAGCAAATGTGACTCTTCTTGCTAACGCACAATGAAGTTGCAGTGCCAACCCTTGCATTCCATTTACTAGATAAATCTCTGGAATATTGTTTACTTATGACCTTAGAAGCAACTCACAGGTCGTAATGCTGGTTCCATTTGGGGTCCAATGTGTTCTTCACAGTGTCAGTTGAATGGCACTGACCTGACCCATCAACAACTATTTTTGCAAATGGGTCAGGAAGTCCTGCGGAAGGGAAAAGGTGCTATTAAACATAGTACTTGTTGTTTTGTTTCTTCCCAGATAATGCTATCATGAGCTTCTGCTTGTTCACCCCCAAGAACGGAAAGTTGCCATTCTCCTAAAACTATTTTAGTAAATCCAAAATAGAGAACTGAGTTCCTAATTAGATAACGTACTTGTGTCATATAGATTGATATCTGCCGTAAGTTGTGAAAGTTCTTAGAAAACAAAAGGTTAAACGTGCTTAATTTAACAGTGCATACCCACACATACTGATAAGTAGGCATTTTTATTCAGTCCTTAACATAATACTGAGACTGCAGCACGGATATTTCACTCGTACCCTTGGCACGCTTTACAAATAGAGCCGTCTTTGAGATGGATGCTCTTGGTACCCCCCCACAGAACTGTAAGCAGCAACCTGCTTGTGGTCTCATTAGCCAGACTTTCAACTAGAATTTGAGAGTCCTCACTCTTTCCAATCCTAGAGTCTATGCTAGCTAAATACAATTCAGGGTAACGCCTACTCATGTAGTAATGCAATGTTACTGCAAGAATGGAACCACAGAACAAGTGACATACATAGATGAGACACGACAGTAATGCACAATCTACAAATAAATCTGATTAATCAAGAGCAGAAAGTTATACAATTAGGGCATACTTACTGAAGAAATCTTTCTTTGCAAGATTCTTGGCACATAATACTGCAAAACAAAATATCAGATAAAGAAATCTTAAAACCATAAAAAAAACCCCAAACACTTTCCGGCAATCATACCAGCTACAATACTACCTGAGCGTAATTCACAAAAAACCACCTAAATATTAAATGTAAGCATTGGTTTATCAGTGATTGGAATATGTATTTACATAAAGAAAAAAATTCATTTCTTTTGTTCTATTGTTAAAATATATAGAAGAGTTAATGAAAGTCCCTTTCAGTTAAGGCCTCCTAATTTTCTGCACTGCATGTTTATACAAATGCTAAACCAGAATTCCATTGTGTTCTTTCAGAACGCACCCATTTTAGAACAAGGACTAAGCAGTTTCTGAACCAAGAATGGTTCTGGGACTCCTGGAGGAGACCTCTAAGTCCCATCAAATGTAGTGCAAACTCCTGCTCTTTGCACACAAAAGGTACGTGATACATCATAAACCAAAACAGGTGTGCTACAGCAGCATAAGCAGTTTGCAAATACAAAAAGGTTTTGTGGTAAGTATGACAGGACCTCACTCAGGAGAAAAAAAGATATAGTGATAAAAAATTGCATCGATGTGTTTTCCCTTGAAAGGGCCACAGATGAGACATCATTTCCCTCTCTCCAATTCTACTAAATAGCACAGTAGTTTAAGCAAAAATTAGATCAGGAAACTCGCATCAATCTCCATTTCTACTAAGCCCATTACCAGCTACAAGCCTAATTTTGCTTTTCAATAAGGACTGCTCAGTACAATCTCAGCAATCCAAGTTGTTCAGTATCCATTAAACTCATAACAGGCCAGGAAAAGTAATTACAGAGCCAAAGATGAAAATATTAGAGCTCTAACTTACCTAAAACTAGGATCCAAGAGAGGAAGATAACTATAAAAGACCTAACTATTTTTGAGGTAGTCTCTTTTCCACCCAGTTCTGATCTTTCAGCATGAGAATGAATGCTCAGAAGATACTCAAATGGCCATTTCCCCTGGTACGGACCCCTTCTCATCTCTCTTCACCTTGCTCCTGACTTACACTCGGTCTCACCTTAACTTTATATTGGGGAAAGTGAAGACACGGTACAAAAAATATGGGAACAAATATATGTTTTCTTTTTGTTGTTGTTTTTTTGAACACTTCTACTAGAATTCCACCTCTCAACTCCAAAGCAACATTCCCCACCTAACATAGCTAGCAGAATAAGAACTGCCTCACCTCACATGTCAAGCAAACAGACCAAAGAAGTCCACTATTTAACCCAGATGTTCATGGAAAAAAATACACAAATCCTCTATCTTAGTAATAATTAAAGCAGCCGCACCAGGAAACTATTTTTAGAATGGATTAAAAATTACTTATTTCTTACATTGGCAAACTGCATAATTAGAGAAAGCTTCTCTTGTGTTTTTTTTTTTTTTTTTAAAAACTGACCAAAAAAATTTTTAACAACTGACCAAAAAAGAGAAGTCTGCAGGACTACGGCAATTCAATTTGAAACAAAACAGGATTACAGAATCACCATCCGCTGTTCTATGGAAGCACGACAGAGCAACCTTTAATTTCCTCTTCCTGTTGCGAGTGCTTCAGAGGAAAAAATACCAGAAAAAACAGGGAATAAGTTCAGGTAAAATCAGAACTTGTATGTTCTAGTACTAGCCAAAAGGAATTTTAAAGTTCCTGTGAGTGGTGGAGCTTTTCTTTTTTTTTAAATCAAATAACTCATTTTACTTCCCCATCCCCAATTTTAAGAATACATTACTGAGGTGGAAAAGTATGCCATCTGTAACTATCTGCATATAGTCTGACTATATAATTATCACCTTTATTCTATATTTCAGGTGTGCTTTCTAGAGCGAACTAGCAGCGTAAGTTTCTAAAGCTATTATTGAAGAATTACATTTTTTTCATTTAACTCTTTTCCCTCTGCCACAGGCTTTCAGTCTACAGTAGAGGAGCACGGCTGCCAATTTTCCAGTTGGAGCCTGTGAAACCCTCAATTTTAGGTTGCAAAAATCATTACTCTTTCTTGTAAGAAAAATATTGGCACAACAGCTAATAGCCGAAATAAACCTTTATGGAGCAATCTCTACAATTAGCCTGCCCAAGATGGACCACTGGCATTGTTCCACTGTTTGCATATTAAACCCCCTAGAGGAAAAAATATTTTCAAGTGCCCTATCACTTAAAAGCCATAGATTTCTAAATTCCAGTAAAGAAGCAGGTGACAAAGGTCAGCAACAGGAGACTTGGACATGAAACCATGCCAGCGGCAGAGCAGACAGCCCCTCCCTGCTCTGCAAAGCTGCGTGTATGCCAGATTTTCTTCTTAAATACATTGCCTCCAAGAGGGCTTCAGCAATACTGCTAGCAGGATCTGACTAGCTGCTATTTCAAGCCCGAAACCCGTGAACTCGGGTAGATTTAGCTATAAAAGCTTAAAAAGTTATTAAATTTATCCCTGCATCAGAGGCAGTGCAGGAGAATGGGATGGCTACTTATCTGCAAACCAGGCACCTGAGACGCGCTTTGCACAAAACCCATTTTTGCCTACTTTTCATCTTTCCAAAGAGCTTTTTCTTTTCATTTTTCTTTCTTTTAAACAAGAAAGGTTTAGGGCTTGTCAGTAGGAGTAATCTCCTTGCATTTGTTGCAATGTTACAAAAGGTACTAATTCTCCTGACTTGGGCATTTACATTCTGCCTTCTCAAAGTCAACCGACTTGTTTCAGCTTGACATAGTATTTGTTTATACTCCGCTCTGGATTGCTGCACAGCACTGAAGAACTATTTTTTTTAATCCAACAGATCCCAAACAACACTGAAACAATGTCTTTACATCTAGATTATAATATTTATAAAGGGATGGGAATGTTTTTTTTAAGTAGCTGACATTATTGAGATAATTTCAAAGGCCAAATTAGCCAGCTGGGTAGAGTACTAGTGTGAAAGCATATTTGGCAGGAGGTGAAGAAAGGACAAGCCTTATACGAAGTCAGTATTCACCCTGGGGATGTCTTCAATGCAGATGTAACTTGAGCGAGTTGAGTGGTTCTTCTGCCAGCCCCCGGTTGTCCACCCTGCTTCCAAAGCAGAAATGAATCATCTGCTGTGGTTCAGGAGGTGCCGCAGGAGCAAGCTACAGACGGGTGTAGTAAGGAAAGCACAGAGTGGCACCAATGTCTGAACAACCCGGCCGAGAATTGCATCAGAAAGCTGCTGCTTTTTTTTCTCATCACCGAGACACCTATCTCTGCAGCAAGACCAGCATTTTCAGAAAGGAGGCAGAGAAAAGACAGCCTGGGTGAGGAACCATTTCAAACATCGCCGAGTAAACAGACCCAGCCTACAAAATCAAAGCCGCCGTGTGCAAGTTCCTCCTCCTGAATTGTCAGCGGTCAAAGAACGGCTGCTAGTCTGCAAGAGAGTCCTCACACTGCTGTCTCTGCATCAACACCGGATTTATTCACATATAACATCCCATAGCTCAGTGCTAAGATGCTACAATGATTTTCAGCTGCACAGTGTAAAAAACAGGTAGTTGTGTTTTGGGACTGGGGGGGGGGAAGATAAGCAATGAAAATGTTCCGTAGGTCCCAGTCTGTACCAATGCAAAATAGCAGGCAAATTTGCTCCTGGCACTGCGTTCACTCACACTTTGTCAGTTAAGGGTAAGAGCCTCCTTGCTCAAATTAAGAACTTTTACACGTGGACAGGATCTGAGCTAATGACGGCCTTCAATTTAGTACTCAAGTTAATTCTGAAGAAAAGACAAACCAGCAGTACATCCACATCTTCCTTAGGAAAGGGGGGGGGAAGGTCATACTGAATGATGCTAGCAAATATACCTCTCAGCCATCTTTGGCCTTCCCTTTGATATTCCAGGTTAATCATTTCTGCTTGTACAAACAGGCAGCTAGATTCTAGGATACATTTGTTTTACTTTCTGACAGAAGATAAACACAGGCCAGCAGGCTGATGACGTAGAAAGGACTTTACTTAATATTTACTTCTGTGTAGACCATCTTTAATCATAGAGATATGTAGCATAATCATTAAAAGCATCACAGGTTGGTTGGTTTGTTTTAAGATATAAGCAAGAAGCAAAGAAGAACAATGAGGCTTTGGAGGAGAGAGGAATATAGATCTCGACATAAAATGAAACTAAGGTCACTGCATACCATTGAAAAATAAAAAAGGCCGCAAAGCAGGTCAAATTTGATGCATCCGAGTAATGGAAACATCTCTGCTAATGCTTCAAAGTCTGCCTAGCTTTTGACTTGTGAAGCTGGTAACCTCTGTTGGAGGTAGGGTTGCTCCAGCTCTACTGTACGACAGCAGGACAGCCCCCTGCATGCTAGCTTACAGGCTGGTTTCCACAGCAAAAATTCTGCCATTCTGAAAAACAGTTTTCAGAAGGCTACATGGCAAAAATAATGTGCTTGAAGTCTAAAAAAGCCTCAAAAAAAAAAGCAAATATCAGCTATTTACCACATGCTGCTCTAACGCCGCAAAGCACCATGGCCCACAATTAAAATCTTTGCTGAATCCGTTATGTGAAATCACGTCTCGTCCAAATGGTTCGGCGTATTTTGTGGAAAATACTCTTTATACCACAAGCCACCCCTTCTGAACCGGCTTTACAAATGACTCCGCTTAGGGTTCATATTCTCTGCACATAAGTTTAAATGAGACTTCACTGCAGATAAACGTCTGTTTTTATTTCTACTACTAGGCAACCCATGAAGGTCGTAAGTGTTCTGTTTTTTTTTAAGGGTGACAATCACTTATATTTGGTAGGGTACAAGAGAAAGGGTTTAATGGGAAAGGAATGATGGCTGAAGGCACCAAGTGTGTAAAAATGCAGTTTCTTTACAGCTAGCCACATCACTGAACTGAAATATACCACTTTATTCACAAATTGGAGTTTAAATTGTCACCACGAAGGCCAAGGTTTCTATTCTAGTCCTTTTTCTGTTTGCTTTAGGAATACTTTTGGTCTTTCTCTTCGTCTGCTTGAGACTGAAATGCATAAATCCACAGACTGCTTTAACTTCTCAGTAACCGAATCTGAATCACTGCAGCGCCTAGCATGCAGAAAAAGATAAACAAAACTGAAGTCTTCCGTTACATTTGCCAAATAAACCAATTAGCTACACAGAAATAATTTTATGCAGACGTGTACATTGAGTGGCCTTCACTATTAGCATCGTGGTGCCAATGAGATTTGCAATCTGACACGTAAGCCAACCAAAAAACCCCTGAGACCCCTCAGACTTCAGGACCAGCACGTATCATGGCCTGACATTGGAAGACTGCCTGAACTCATGCT